GAAATCTCAGGGATCTAACGTTTCCATGTATCAATATTATTTATAACAACAAGCGATGTGATACTGATGAATACTTAAAGTGAGATCGACAAGAGAGATAGATGTATCGATATTTTTCAATTTTTGGTATCGACTGCTATGCGCTATTATGTTATAATGCCGCGTTTTAAACGCTAATACGACTAGGGCGCTTGTAAATACGAAGCGTCCCGATAATCGATTGTACGTTTATTGGTTGTGCCGATAATCCAGATTGCCCTTAATCCGTGTATTCGGAAATACGCTCGCGAGAGAATCCCGATTGTAAGCAATATTTTACTGTAATCGTGGTTATCTTCTATCGTTTTCAGCCTGAAAACGCGGAGGCGTCCCATGGTTCAAAAATATAGAAAGGTCACGGAACCCTGTTATCTCTCCGATTAATTGCGTCCGCAAAGAACAGAAAATTGAATTTGAGTTTAATTGTTGATAAAGGTTGGCAAAAAAAGGGCACTCATCATCGTCGCGTTTTGCATAGGGAATTAATTCGAGCCGTGCAACGTTGGAAATACGAGATTAAATCTGTCGTTCTAATTTCCTCTTCTTTCACATCACGCTGACGTACGTGATGGAGTATTTAAATTTCAACATTTGAATGAACGTTTTGTAACGGAGGGAAGGAAAGATTGTAAGTAAATTAGATTATTTAGAGACGAATTCAAATTGTTTGCTGCCATCGGCAGCTGCCATCTTGTCGTTCCAAGATAAATGCCGATAAAATATGAAGATTTACAAGAAATATAAATAGTATGTTCGTTTGGATTATTGCGACGCTATTGATATCGACATGCGAAAGTTTATTGCGTTCTAGCCTGCAGGGTGATTTAAGTAGCAACGCAAACGCTTCTTCAAATTTGTTTGCCAAGATTTGAGCCGCGAGATCTTCAAATACCTCTTATTTCGACGCACCACGACTTTAACGATGCTAAAATTTATTGCCCCGAAGTATTTATTGTGTTTTCCCGCATACTTTTGCTCGTAGAAACAACTCGTTTATCTACTCGCTTGTCGTTCGAGCACGTTCAAGCGGGCCGTTCGAGCGACATTCGCGCGTAAGATCTTGCGCCGCGTTTGCCCGTGCACCTGCGAATGTGAAGTGTGAACGCGCCCGTGCACGATAATATCATACGAATTAATCGTAAATCACGACAGGAGTGATGACACCATTTATCGCGGCGAGCTGTGTCCGCGATGACTTTCCTCAAACCTTTGCGCATCACATAAACATTTAATTTACAATTTAATATTCGCGGTTATCATATTTGCGCAGTTGCACTGAACAATCGACGCTTGTTCAAAGTAATGCCATTTATGATTTATAGCCGTGGCTTTGAATGCTATTGTCGCTATTATTCATCGTCGGTGAAGAGCGTGTCAAAAATTGCGGATGTTAAAGGCGATAGTCGGCAGTTGTAGAATTTACACTGCAAATTTATTTGTCGATTAATTTCGTATTTTAATTTTATTCGAGAATTGAGAATCGGCGACGGTAAAATCAGAAGTTTGTTGGAAATTGAACAGTTACTTACGTGTACACAAATTTGCATTTGACATTATATTTAACATGGGTAAACAAATTTTCTCTTTCTCTCTTTCTCAGTATTTCTCATGCGCCTACAACCGTCCACATCGAAAATTCATCGTTACATGATTCGTGATGGGTGCCCGACATTCGTAAACAATCGTCGGCGCCAAAATTCACCGATGACTCGACGCATCTCATCCCGCTCGCGCGCCTACACTAATCGGCTACGCAAATACACAAGAGCCGCGCTCTCTCGCTCGCACGCTCGAAAGCCGACGTAATTCGTGGGTTGGTATTTTAATTGACAGACTGACAGATCTACGGACTGCCGCGCGCGCGCGCGCGCGCCGCGGCTACTCCAATCTCCCTATTGAGTCTTAAGCACTTTCTTCCCGAATAAACGCGAATGAATCAGCGCGCCGGCACGCGGCGGTGATGTCAATCTTTGCTCAGCTGACTGACGAGATTGGCCTCACCTTCCTCGCCGGCGCATACGGGACGATCTTTCCTCGGCCTCGCATTCTTTCGCGCCGGTGTAAACGCTCGACTTCGCGCTCGCCAAGACATCGACGAGGAGGCGCGGCGACAGTAAACGGTGCATCTTCTCTCTCGCACACCCGCACGTACAATCGTGCCGATGTTATCACGTCGCTCCGAATCTGTCCGCTGTGAAATCCCGAAGATTTATGGCTATCAACTACCGGCGTTAGCAGCGGTCTACTTTACTCGCAATGTTGATATTTTCCTAGAATATCATGTCTACGTTTGTACGTTTTGAAACGTGCGATATACATTCTTCAGCCGCAGAATCTCTTAACCTTCTATTTTGGAAGATATTTACATGTATTCGTTTAAAAAACATGCGGAGAAATGATTTTACTTAGAAAACAAATGGTGATATTATACGAAAATATACGAAATGATATAATTAGCAGTAATAAAAGCCTAACTTTTACTGTTGTGCCAGTACAAAATATTTAAATATTTAAAGTTTGTTACGTATATTCAACGTGAAATCCGCGATAGGGAATCGATATATTTTATTGTTAAAAAATATACGTCTTTTGCACGTAGTTGCTCGCGTTTTAAAGTTGAAGCAAACTTTCGTTTATTTCATTTTTCAGTGCATTATTATTCGCGCAAGCTGAGTTACGTTTATGTGATATTTCCTTCCGTGCCGCTAGCATCCATTTCCGCCGAACTGTAGCGCGCCAGCCGAGCAAGAATTCGCGTTACAATGTCGTGCGAGAGATTGTGTCTTCGTTTATCGAATAAATAAATTCACCGGCAGCCGAGTATTTTTCGCGACGAAACGCGCGATGCTCGTATACGTATACGTGTATGCATATACAGTCTCGTTCATGCATCCAATGTTTATCGCTTTGCCACCCCGTGACCGACCGAATTCCACGACGGCTGAATCATCGAAATAAAATATCATCGATCGCTATTTGAACGTCGATCTCTATGACTCCATTAGCAAAGAAGAGCCGTACTCTTATTTGAAAGTCGTGACGCATCGACGATGAATTACACGCGTCCAGTAGTGCACTTACACGTGCCTTTACGGGAATGCGATAACACCGTGAACTCTTCGTCTGAATCTAACTTTCGATATGATCTTGGTCATCAGCAACGATCTCTCGATTAATTTAAATTTTCCAAATGCTATTTATATTATTTGTGTTAAATATAGCAATATCAATCGCAAATTGTAAATAGATGGTTTGAATATTAAGAATTTTAATCTTCCTCTTTTTCTTTTTTTTTTTTTGCTACCGTTTGCGTTTCAAAGTCGACCGAGTTGCTTCTAACGCTGTTATATACCTCGCATTTTTCTCTCCGACGCGGCAACAAAGTATCGAAGTAATAAAGTTATGGCCACGCCGAGATTTAATATCCCACGTTCGTCGCAGCGGTGTTTCCAGTTGCGAGCAATTGGCAGCCGGTATTACACACGGGTGCGACGGCCGTTATCGCAGAATCGCTTGCGTAACGGCGCTAAATCATTGCACGGCGATCGAACGCACTCACGGCAGACAGAAAAAACGTGGACGGACGGTCGCGAAGAATAAAGCACCTCGACCGCGGAGAATGACTCGGGACGGGGCGGGCGGAGGGAGGAGGGGAAGAGACGCTGCATTAATTCTAGCCGGGCTCCGCCACGTAGACTACGATAAATCTCGATCTCGTTCTGCTCCGAGACGGAAATGCAGCCCACGTGTACCTACGTCGCTCGATTCGAACTACTCGCTCCGACTGCACTCGCGGCGATTTAACACGCGATATATTGTCTCTACGTGTTATTCTGTTACGCGGATAACCATAAGGTATACAGCGATGATAAATACGGTATACCTACGTACGTGAAGCCGGTGTCAATTGATATTGGAACACGCGACAGAAGAGCACTTTATCTCGTTCGTGAAAATTTAAAAGATAATTTTTAATATTCGTTTATTATCTCCGTTTTGATGTTTCAACGTTGGCGATGAATATAAAAAGAAAACTTTTTTTCGTCTACTCCACGGTTCTTTGAATATGAATGCGCTTTGCAAAATGTAGATTTAACCCGCAATAAATCGGTGGTTTTTACAATTTTTCCAGCTTTGACAACCGCAGCTAGAATAATTAATCTAAACAACCAACAGATACGCGCATTGCTCGTGCGGTGTCCCTTTAAGCGCAAATTTATAAAGTGTACCGGAAACGAAAGCTCCGCAAACGAAACGCGACTCTTTTGTGAATAATATACACTCGGCAAGTCACGAACTGTTTCGCGTTATACGTTTTTCGTAAGAGCCTATTATACGTATAAACGCCTTGCCTGCGTAATTCCGACTTCAGTCGCGCACGCCGCTTTTTAATTACGCCAACTTTTAAAACGCCTCCATTACGCGAAAAACATAACGGCTGTTTTAACAAGAATACAATTATGCTTGTCGCTTACTTTTCCCCCGGCAAAATGACTGTTGCCGAACAGATAAATTTTACAGATTTATGCAAGAGAGACATTTAATTCTTGTGTTTACTACGATTTCTATCTTCTTTTTTTTTCCACTCTGGAGAGAAACCTTACGTAACGCCCAAGTGGCTAATCCACTGAAAATGCTTCGATTCTTTTACGAGCAGCGCTTGAACACCGCTACCGATAATAAATTCATTGCTACAAAATTACGACAGACAATGGAATATCGGAACGTTCATTTTTTTTTCTCTTGGTGAAAATTCATCTTCCGCCGCAATTCGATAGTTGCCTATCGACGCCGCGAGTCAGAATAATTCGCGTTTTCGTTCAATCGACAGTTTGCGATCGAGCGCGTTTATTTAATTAAATCACCGTCGCGGTGGTTGAGCGCTCGCCTCTACGGAAACTTAGGCAACTGGGACGAAAAGTGCAAGGACAGATCGGAATACGATTAATAATTTATTCCAGGCACGTCGTTCGGCGAGTCGGCGACGCGGGGCGATCGAGAACAGGTGGGCGAGAGAAAAGAATCGAGACGGAACAACGGCGACTGGAAGGACGACGAGAGGGCCACAAGGAGCACGCGGATCGCGTCCAGCTGGACAGGTAAGGGAAAACCTGTTGAATTAATGTCAACCCTCCGGCATTCCGCTTTCCCACCGTGTCTACGTCTAATTTGTACCACACGTGCAAATTATCCGATATAATATGTAGTTATTAATTTTGACAAGTGCGATGCGCAATGAAACAGTGATTGTCGGATCGAAAACAGCCGTCGATGCCTATTATCCTCGGCAGACTCGGAATGTTATTCGCGGGTATTTCCTCTATAATTACCGTGTCTGCCGATCATGCTGCTCGCGCATGTACGACGTTTCTACCGATCAACGTGTCTGTCGTCCATAATTGAAATTGATCGAGAATTAACGTCGCGCTTGAAACGATGATTTCCCAGAGTAAAAACTCTCATTGATACGCGACAGATGTAGTACATGAGAAATGATCGAAAAGATTTTGAAAAAGATATCGTTTGAAATTAATCGAATGTTTGAATATTTGCCAATCAAATCGAGAGAGAGAGAGAGAGAGAGAGAGAGAGAGAGAGAGAGAGAAAGAGAGAAAGCGAGAGAGACATCACGAACTCTCATAATACGAAACGGTAATGTAAGTTTGAAAAGAAAGAAAAACTCTGTTTAGAGAAACAAGCGAGCGTTTGCTGAGAGAGCAAATATTTTCTTGAAAATAATATCGTAGAGATATAATCTCGTATCGGAAACAATATTTGTTGTTTGACTTAGCGAGCAACGGGCGTACGAGAGAGCACGAATGGTGTAGTCGCGAACAAGTTTCGGCGGCGAAGGGCGCAGTAGGTTCGACGGCGCGGCGGCGAGAAACAGAATATTCTGCTTCATTAATTTAATCAGCTGTTTTAGGGAAGCCGCGAGCGAAGCCGTCTTCGAAATTTTCGACGCTATCAGCGAACTTTACGTGACGCCGCAAACTACACGGCTTCCCTCCCGATATAAACGCGAACAATGGTAACTTGTTTCGAAGTCGATAATGCCCGTGGTATACGATGTAAGAATAGCTCCCGTCAAACGAGTATCTCACCATAGTACGCATCGGTTGCACTGTCAGTGCAGCAGATTTATGCGAACTGGATATACATATAGTTATCGGACTTCTGTCCTATGTAAGTAGAATAACTAAAACTTTCTCAATATCACAATAATTTACGGAGTAACTTCTTACGGATGAGACTCTGCTGCAGGCACATATCGGAAATATAACATGTTTTTATAACATATTTTTAATTAATAATATTATGTGTATGTGTGTGTGTGTGTACTATTTGCGCTTGTATTGGAAATAACGCAACCCCGCTAATGATCAGGTTTTTTTTATCAATAAATTCAGTTTGTGTTGCATTATATTGAAATTATTAGCGGTTCGAATAACGAGCATCGATGCTATTATTAATATTTATTGTGTTCATTAGTAAACTAATTGAAGCATGTGCTTACATAATGTTACGAGTATCAAAATGTGATAAATAACAATTAAATTTCCATTGTCGAATACTAAATGCATTTTGTTTCTCTTGCAAAATATGAAACAGGACATTTAGAATTTTGCGAAAATATATGACTTCACTAAGTGCTTAACATATGTATAAATGAGCGGATAAGCAATCAGAAAGTAAAATATTCAATCATAATTTCCCAAGCTGAGATGGCCGAGATACCGCGCGATAGTCGAGCTCTTTCAAGTTTTGCGCGTAACTTTAAAACGAGTTAAATCAACGATACTTGAAAACTTTGGGAAAATCAATTCGAATGTTTTAATTCGCACGGTCGTTATTTGATAACAATATTTCATTTGTTATAACTTGAATAAATAATTACAATTTTTCGAGTCACTCAATTGTAAATTTTTCTTTGATGCACAAACAATACTTTTTATTTCTTTGCTTTGTGGTCTTCTTCAAATATTTGTCGCTTCGACGTGCCAATTTTTTAGCTGTCTCGTTAATCCGCATCGCAGTGCCAAATTTGAATTTACTGGCCACTACAGCGAACTGTATAGAGCAGCGTGAGGCTGTTGCGTTGCAAGATACGAGAGCCACCACGATACGGAGAAAATGCTTCGACAAAATATATTTCACTTCCCAAAAGAATATTACTTGTGAATTTATTGCGCGCAGCCGACAACTTTTATGGCGCCGTTGGCCCGGAAACGTTTAAGCGAGACGTTTCGTGGGTGTCCCGCGTTTGCCGCGGAAAATACGATTATCCAATTACGTTATCCGCTCGACCAAACTCTCTCTCTCTCTCTCTCTCTCTCTCTCTCTCTCTCTCGCTCGCTCTTTGTTTCTCCCTTCTCTTCTTCCTCTTTCTCTTTCCTTCCCTGTCTGCGCTCCATTCCTCGGTTAAATTGAGATTTTTCGATGTGCTCTGCATATATTTCTCTTATACACTATTTGTTTTTTTTTTACTTTTCCCTCACTCGGCATCACACCTTCGCCCTCACGAGATAAGCGCTATCTTTTTGAGTGCCCGGAATGCTGATATGTACCTCCGCGGCTCAGCGCGATGGAATGTGACTTTATCATCGTGCCAACTAACAAATATTCCGTGCGCGACTAATGCATATAGTCCCAACGCACACGCACATACGTACACATACACATATACATACAGACGAGAAATAGAGAGATAAAGAGAAGAATGGCGGGAGAGATTGCTCGCTAAAACCCTGCCGTGCAAATATTTACCGAAATGTACATTATTCTTTCCCTCCGCCTCGTCCGGCATTTGACATAGTCTCGGCAAATGGATTCTCCGACTGCGTACGTTATGAAAACACGCGAGAGTATGGGAAATGGAATGAAGAGTCGAGTCGAGAAAGAGAAAACCATAACGTCGACCCCGTAGTATTCCTTTATTAAACTTGGGGACATGTAACGTTCGATTATTGGAGCTGCCTACACGCTACCTTTTTCACGGGGCGTTGTGCAAGTTGTTGCAAATTGTTGACGTTTGTGTAAACAGGGATATGACGTTATTGTTGGCGCAAACTGTGTTAGTTGTTCGACGCAGAGTTTTAGATCAAAATATTATGAGAAAAAATATATTCTGCATTTCTTAACAAAAGTTTTTAAATACGTGTCGAGACAACTATTGTATATAGATTAGATATTAAATTAAATTAATAATTTTTTATATAAATATTATGATTTGAAATTAGATTGATGATGATTAATTTTTATAAATATATTTAAATATTTTATAATCTTATCAAAAATGTTTTTATTCTTAGAGAGGTATCTTATTTTTATACAGAGATAACTTTGCAAATCTAAATGAGAGTACTAAAAGTTGATTTTAAAATTAATGATATATATTTTAAAGGCAACTAATATTTTGCAAATGATGATGATGATATTTTACGATACAATTTCGCTAGTCTTTATTATCATTAGCCGAGTCGTGCAAACAATGTTTTTTTTTTTTTTTTTCAATAAGCGTTGAAGTCCATGTGTAACTTTTCGGAAGCACTCTGACATAGCAGTCGTTCCGTTGCTGCTTCTTCATTTTACCCGGCTGGCGGATTCCACTAATGCATTACGAAAATATGCGTTCGGGAAAATAGTTTAGTCGAAGTCTTGCCCGTCGTGGACTTTGTGCCTTCATTAAGACATACTTGCGATAAGACGCGCGAATTTATCATCGGATCGTGATTCACTGGAACGTAAATGATAGATTGTGAATAAATCGGCCCATTGTCTAACGATTTCTAAGGTACGCCAAGTGAAATGGAGTAATCTATTTCATAATTAAGAAAAAAATTAAAGTTAAAATAAAATTGGAACAAGTGAAATCAACAGAATATCTAAATGATTTCTTGTTCAATGAAATATTTATCTAAATGTCAGTTCTCTTAAGAAGTCCAAATTTGATTTTCTTATAGCGAAATATGAATCAGCCGTAATAATAAATTAAATGTAACTTCCACATATGAATCTCCAAGACCTTTTTGGGTCAGAGAAGCATGCACACTTTCTCTTTTCATTTCGAAACTGTTTACGAGAAGTGTATCTGCATCCTTATTCGTTATGCAGTGATATTTCAATAAGAATGCATCAGCTTGATGCTGCAAGCGGTACGGTCGAAAAATTACTCGACCGGCTTTTGCGTCGGGCAACATCGACAAAAAATGATAATTGACGTTAATTAATATGGAGATCGCAGTGTTCTTACGGAACGGTAACGTCGAGTTATAAGTTTTCAATTATTTATACGGCGGGACAGTCGTTGCGTCATCTCGAAATCGTATGCGCGTCGCTTTTCGTTTTGAAGGGACCAGCCGCCAATTAAATTTGTCTCCTTGCGTCTCGATCGGTCATTAATCTCCCGCGCATCGACATCTTGGGCGTGACATTAATCATTATTACTCTCCTCGCGCCGGAAACCGTCGTAACACGCGAAAGTTGACGCGCGGTGATTTGTCTTAATTAACGATTATTTCACGGATTTGATTGCATTACCACGCCGAGCGTGACACTCGCCATTAAGACTGCTACCGGAACTGCGCTGTAATCTGTGCTCAAATTTGTTCGTGGAAATCGCACAATTATAGCTGCGTTGAGCGTGCCGCATTTACGATCGTCGCATTTGCTTTCTCCCAAGGGCAACGCTCTCGCGAAACTCGGATACGTGGTCCGATTTAACATTCTTCTTTTGAAACGAATTATTATTTATGGAATTTGAGTTTGTAGCAACTCTTCATAGCGATTCGCAACATCTCCTGACGCATTTAACCGCGGCGCGCGTCCATACAACCCGTTTTCTCCTGGACTGCGAACGGCCGAGTCGCTTCTGAAACGATTCGCGTTTTGCAATGATATGCAGCCACATGTCACATATATTATACGGCGGATAATCGTTATGGAATCGCATAAGTTCGCGAGAATTATATTTACGATTTTCTCGGAGATAATTATGGTTCCTCGCAATCCGCTTTGCTTGCTAGTCATAGCTGTTATAAACTCTCGGATGGGGATTATATGTGTATATACATATATGTATATATATATATATACATAA